GCGTTCACTGCAGCGCCTCAGCCGGGCAATGGGCCCCGCTTCACTGGTTTCTTATTTCCCCACACGAGATTCAGCTCCCAGCTCCTCCTGTTGGGGCTGCTCCATCCCAGCAGCAGAGACACAGTCAGAAAAGTTTTAGTGGGGAGAGAGTTTCCCTCAGGGGTTTAAATTGGTACCTGCCTGAGACAGGGTGGACCAGGCCCTGAGTCTAGACAAGGGCCATAGGGTGAGTCTAAACTACACCTCTCTGTCTTCAGGCTGCTTTTTTACAAAATGGGGCTTTTTCAGAAAAAAAATGGCAGTCTAGATGGGGATCTTTCTAAAATAAAACCCTTTTATGAAAGATCTTGTAAATCTTATTTTATGAGGAATAAGGGATCTTTGGAAAAGGGTTTTATTTTCAAAAGATCCCCATCTAGACTTTTTTTTCCCCAAAAAAGCCCAATTTCAGAAAAAAGTGGCAGCCACCGTTATGCAAATGAAATGCGGTATATTTAAATCCCAGCTTCATTGCAATATCGATGTGCCTAATCTACATCCCTCTGTCAGCAGAGAGGTGTAGTTTAGATGTACCCATAGAGAATACCTCCAAGAAAGCTAGCATGGCTGCAGAGAAACCAGCCAATCAGGGGTGAGAAAGGCCTATAAGAAGAAGAATAGTGATAGAAATGTAGCCGTGTTAGTCTGGGGTAGCTGAAGCAAAATGCAGGACAATGTAGCACTTTAAAGACTAACAAGATGGTTTATTAGATGATGAAGCTCCAGCACCAGAAACAGCTCCGTGTCTCTGGCGCCCTAAGCCTGGGAAGGCCGCGTGACTGGCTAAGGGAGCAGCACCATGGAGAGCTCCCAGAGCTGACTAGAGACCAGGATGAGCTGCGACTGAGCCCTGAGGGAAGGGTGAGGACACTGCGCCCAGGAGGGGAAGCCCTGGAGGCCCCACTCACTATCTGGGGAGGGGAGGTGAATAAACTGAGAGAGAAGCGGGACAGTAACAGAGAGCTCTGCTATGGGCCCGTTAGGCGTCTTTCCCAGGAGTATGATTCACACAGTGTGACTGGCTGAGTAGTAGAAAAGGCTTTTTAAAGTGGCAGCGCAGGCACACGCACTGGGCCAGACGGAGGCGCTCATGAGTGGTGAGTGCCACCCTGTTACGCTGCCTCTTCTGCTCCCCCCTCACTGAAAGTTTCCTGGCTGTATCTCGCTGCTGGCAATGAACATCCTCCAGTGCCAGGCCAAGGGGCAGAGAGGAAGGGGCAGGATTGGGTGGGGCAGCCCATTCCCAGCCCAGAAAGAGGGGGGCAACCTCAGAGAGAGAGCGTGTCCCCCCTAATCCAGAAGCAGTGAGCCACTCCAATGGGAGAGCCCAGCCTGTCCAAAGCAAAGGCGGGATGTTGGATTATGAGGATGGGGGAGACCCCTGTGTCAGGGTAAAGGAGAGGGGGAGTCAGCCCAGAGGGCAGAGAGCTCTTGACTCGTTCTTCCTTAAAAGGCTTGTGACTGTCTATCAAAACCTCAGGGTCAGAGTTAGGGGCTTTGGGTGCTGCTGAGGGAGAGGTTTCTGTTTAGCAGCGTGGGCATGAACTCAGCACCCAGCCTGGTGTCAGAGTCATTTGTTTGACTTCACACGGGATCTTCCCAGTATTTAATTATTTCACTTTTAGATTGTCAAGCGTCCTGGTCAGAGTCAAACTGATTTTCACTTGAGCTACAAACTCATAAAAATGTTTCCTGAGAAACCTGTCATAATTCAAAGACAATCTCCACCTGCAAACTCACCTGGTGTGTACGCGCTTGGGGATTCCCCTCTCCGTGTCTCCAGTGCAGAGGGCAGAGTGTCTGGAGGGGAAAGGAGAAGAGAGGAGGGTTTCTGCTTTCAGATTTATAACTCTGATCTGACCTAGCCTGGCTCGAGTTTTGACAAAGAATCAGGCAGAGAGGCACAAAGACTCACCCTGCCTTCTCTATAGAGAGAAACTGATTTGAAACCTTCCTCCCGCCCCTTTCATTTCGGTGTCTCCCAACACAGGAGCCCACAGCCACCCGAGGAGACGCAGTCTGTGATGAGGGGAACTTAAATCTCCTTATCCCCTCCCACCCTCTGGACCTCAGCTGCTTTGTCCCATTCACCTACTGCCTTTGGCCAGACCCTAGACCAAGGGTGGGCAAGATACGGCCTGCAGACTGCTCTGCCAGGACCCACAGGCAGAGAGCAGCCCCATGCCTTTTGGCTGGAAACAACTGACCAATGGGAGCTGAAGGATTGGGCTGATGACGGGGGCAGTGCAAAGAGCCTCCCCCTGCCCTGGCATTCAGAGAAGAGCCACCTGAAGGGAGCAGACAGCAGATCTGAGAAGTCTGGGGCTGTGATTGGCAGGGAGCTGGCTTTGGGGTCCTGCAAGTCTGCAGGCTGGGTGCTGCCTAGGTAAGCATCTCCCATTCAGAGCCTGCCTCTGGGATCCCCTCCTCCAAATGCCTGCCCCAGATCTCAATCCTCTCCTGCCCCAGGTCACCACACAAACTCTCTGTACTCTTCCTCCCCAGGTCACAACTTCCTCCAATACCCTGTACCCCGCCTGCACTCTTCCCCCAGGCCAGAATCCTCTCCTGCCCCCTCCTTCATCCAGTCCTCCATCCCAGGATCCTTTCTGCACCCACCTGGCTTCCCAGGTGCCAAACACCTTAGAAAACTCCATAGAAACCTGTGGCCATTGGCCATTGATCAGAATCTTGGAGTGGCCCCAGATCAATCATTATTACCCGCCCCCTCCTAGATCCAAATCCCACATTTAGTGTGAATGTAACTTTACACACTTTGGTTCCTTTGGCATTAACAGGATGGTAAGATTTGCTGGGTTAAGTCTCATAATTCTATACCCCTTGGGGTCTATTCACACAGCGTCTCCACAATGGGCACAGTGGGGCCCTCGGCCTCCACAGACCGACACGCCCAGGAATACAGTCCTTGTACAGTGTGGAGACCAGGGCTGGGAGACAGTCAGCTCAACGAGCCAGATTCACCCTGAAGTGGCCAAGAGCTACAGGAGATCATTTCAGACTCCCCTGGTCCATGGCCGTGGAGCCCCGTGCAGACCTTGGCCCAGGTTGGGGGAGTCTTGAGATTTAGCCAGAGCAGCACCCCTGTTTCTCTGGCCCCACACATTTCCCAGGTTGGGACAGACTAAACATTAGGCCATTGGAACTCAGTGTTGCGATTGAGGGTGAGTCATGAATTAACGCGAGGCATCCTTACACCTGTGCCTCGTTACACCTGCTCTGTTTGTCCCCTTTCCATCTTGCATTCAACCGATCTGTCCTTTCCCCCTCCCAGTTTCCTCTCCTAGATCCTTTCTCGGTACCTTCACCCTCCCTCGGAGTCTCCATGGGAGCAACAGTTTTCTGGCAAAGTCACCGTCTCAAACCCAGTTCTGGAGAAATCTCCTCCTGCGGCTGCAACGTCCCCTTTTCACACC